GATATATATAAGAAGAAGAGAGTGAACTAATAGTAAGAATTTAAAAAATTCCATTTATCAATGTTTTTGACGCCATTAATACAGTTGAACCTGTTTTTGTACGGTAGATAGGGACCGCATAAAAAAAATTGCACACACAAAAAAAATATTCAAACATTTTATAAATTCTTACATATAACAAATTAATTCGTGGAAATACTACAAAAAAAACATTTTTTATGCGGTGGATAGGGACCGCATAAAAAAGTCTCAAATATGCCAATTATTTACGAAATTTATGTAAGAGTACTTCCATAGCAAAATAAATAATTAAATATTACACATGGAAACATTTTAAAAACATATAGTTTCTCATTGTATATACGGATAAGTCTTTATAATGTACATAAATAATTCATTGCTACTTATCGTAATCCAAAGTCCCGTAATGAATAAGTTCAAAAAATCGCTTTCGTCACACTTGAAGGTGCAATTTCAATTGATTTATTTTTTGGTAACATAAAGTAAGAGATAAGTTTTTGTGACGAAAAACGGGTGGTCACACACACACAGTTGCTTGTAAAAGTCACGATAACCAGCTATACATGATTGAAGCCCTTTTGGGAATTTTATACTCTTTCCTTATCTAGTATCTATTTTATGAAAATGCTTTTCCAGTTTGATGGAAAGCTGGATCCCTGCATATTTTTATCCGCTCTCAAAGAATCTGGCTTCTTGTCCGTCTTCATAATCTATCAAATTGTTCATAATGTCACTGTCATTGAAAGTTTCGTCTTCAATCAAGCGCGAGCTGCTGGAGCATTGAGAGAAAGCAACTGAATGTGCATTGTCGGCAGACTGTTTATAACAAATGAACGGAGCGTCTTGAAGTGTCTACATTTCAGTGGCGTAGCGTACACCCCGCATCACGAGGGGGGGGGGCAGGACTCTAGGAGCCCAAGGCTTGACTAACGCTAAATCCGTATTTATCCAATTTATAAAATATTAAAGGCAAAACCTGACTTTCAGGGTGAGGTCTTAATATTCTCCGTTACACCACTAGTAAATAGATAGAAAACATTCAGTAGCGCCAAAGCCATTGAAATTCATACACCGCATAAAAAAATGTCGCACATAAGAAATCGCACAAGAAAAATCGCATAAAAAAAGACCACACAAAAGCAGGTTCGACAGTATTCTGAGATTGTCAAGGGAGATAGAAAAAAGAAATCAAATACTACGACTACTTTAAATTTCCTGAGAACCTTTTATCTTAAACTGAAACTGAAAATGTCAATAACAAAATATCTTTACTCACATGTTCGTCGAAGAAGCGAGTCTATTAACTCCTGTGATCGTGGATCTGGACAAGGCTTTCATGAAGAAAGTGAAAACCTTTTCGTTTTCAGGGTGCGTCTCTATGTACGGAAGATGAGAGTGCCGCACCCTTCTTCGTGGTTTGAAGATGGTGCACTTCTGCACTTTCTTGCTTTTCTCCTTTTGTTGCTTCCAGCACAATCGTTCTGTGCAACAAGAGCAGCCGTGACCATTGCAGAACAAAAATTTAAAATGGCTCCTCATGCCCACGCCTATATTTGAGAAGAAACAGCACATATTTTTTACTAGGAATTCCTTATAGTAACTTTTCATCAAAGTTAGGTTTATTTTTTTTCTGTTTTAAATAGTTTTCTGATTTCATTTAATGCTGTAATGTCAAATTTCAATTTAAGGTTCCTTCATATTTATTTAGCCCTGGTGTAGCTCCTAAGAGTAACATTAAAAAACAGTCAATCATTAATTATATTAAGTGATTAATGAGGAATATTTCATGAGAGCTGCACTGTTATATATAATGATATTCAGCAGTGCATATTAATCAGTGGCGAAAGAGGGAGGAAGGGGGTCGAAAATCCCTCGTATCACACCCAATACGCCACCATACATATTCTTTTGGTTTTATCACTTGTTGCTAACAAAAAACAATAAAAAATAAATTATTGAATTAATAATTTGCATTAATTAATAAAATAAATTACAGTAACGTTCCATCAAAGTAGAGCGTAATATGAAACAGCGTTAAACGAAGTTATCTCATCATGTAAATAATGGAGTTAGAAGAAAATGGATATAAAATTAGTCTGGTATTTTACCATTAAATTTATTAATTATGTTTTTTTATAACAATAGAGCAAAATTTATTTCTTACAAATATAGAAACATAATTAATAAATATACATATACAAATAAATAAAATTCTTAATCAGTATGTTTACATTTTCAATTAAAAATTCTTCTTGTTTTTCCATTATAATATATTAGCTTAGGACAAGGGCTGGCAACCTGCGGCTCGCAAGCCACATGCGTCTCTTTGGATGTGAAGCTGCGGCTCTTTAGTTCCATAAGCAAATATTATTTATTTTATAAAAAAAAAATTAAAAAATTGTTTTGAATCGATTAACGAGGATTATGCATCGTTTCTATCTCTCAGCCACTTGTACTCGCTTTCCCAAAAGAAGACAGACAGAAATCTTGAAAAAAAATCAAAGATTTGCCACTATCCACTAAAACAGTACAAGATAGAATAGCTAAAATGTCTTCAAATATAACATTTCAAATATAAAATATTCAACCTTCTTCTGCCTTATCACTTGTTGTAGATGAGTCTTGCGACATAAAAGACACGGCACAAGTTGCCCTTTTTGTCAGGTATATGTCTTTCCAAGTTCCAAAAGAAGTTCTAGGATTGCTACCGCTCTCGGGACAAACTAGAGGGGAAGATATACTGAATATCGTGCAAAAATGCCTTGAAAACAATAAGATCGATTAAAATAAAATCGTTTCAATAGCAACTGATGGATCCAGAAATATTACAGGAAAAAATAAAGGGGCAACAACGATTCTTCGGAGCAAAATAAACTACGAAATTCTTACGTTTCACTGCATAATACACCAAAATGCGCTTTGTGCCCAAACATTTGCGGCTGAAATAGTTGAGGTCATGAATTTGGTAATCAAGATTGTTAACAGCATCTTGTCAAAAGCATTCCACCATCGTCAATTTAAAGAATTGTTAAACGAAATGGAGACTCACTATTCCGACCTCCTTCTTCACAATAAAGTACGATGGCTTTCTAAAGGTAAGGTGTTGAAACGTTTTGCTTTGTGCTTGAATGAAATAAATACATTCCTCAATGAAAAAAGCATTAGTCACCCTGAATTAGAGAATGACAAACGGTTGCCAAAATTTTACTTTATGGTAGACATCACAGCGAAATTAAATGAGCTGAATCTAAAACTGTAAGGAAAGGAAAACCCAGCCTATATTTTGGTAGAATAATTGGTTTGTTTTGAAGAAAAATTAGTTCTTTTTGCAGAAGATATTCAGAGCGGTAAATTACTTCATTTTCAATTTCTAAAGCAATATCGTGATAAAACCAGTGCAACTGTTGACATGAATTACTTCAGCACAGCTATAAATAAAATTAAAGATGAATTTGCTGACAGATTTGAGCAATTCAAAACCAACAAAACCACTCTAGCATTCATAGTAAATCCTCTCAACACAAATATTAACGAAATTCAGACATTGAGCCATTTTGGAATTGATACTGGATTTCTAGAAATGCAACTGATCGATTTAAAAAGTATAGCTTTATGGAGTGGAAAATTTACAAAGTTGAAAAGCAAGTTGGAAGAGCTGGAGGTCCAGAAATGTATGTTCGTAACACAACAAAAGTTGACAGCTTTAAAAGAAATGCTGCGAGTTGAGGCACTTATATTCGATGCATGGAATAGTCTTCCAGATTGCTACAGTGAAGAAGTTGGCATTTGGAGTGCTGACTGTCTTCTGATCGACATTATTTTGGCCAGAAGAATTTTTCTTGCGTGAATATAATTAAAAGTAAAGTAAGAAGCCAACTAACAAATGAAAATTTAGAGTCGTGTTTGAAACTTAAAACAGCAAGTAATGAGCCAAATTTATCCAAACTTTCTAAAACCATGCAAAGCCAACTCTCCTATCGAATTTGTTTGCTCAATATGCTATTGTTTTTTGTTATTTTTAAGTACAGTTACATTGTTTAGTAAAGTTTAAATTTTCTATTTGAATAACCATGCAAAGCCATCGCTCCCATTGAATTTGTTTGCTCAATTGTTTTTTATTGAGTACAAGTTAGTGTTGTAAGTAAATGTTTAATTGTTTTTATTTTTTACTTAAAATAATAAGTAATTATCTAATAATGCCATATATATATTATCTAATTTGTTGTGACACACTACTTATATATGAATAAATATATATTTTTTCTTAGGAATAAATAGATTAGTTTTTTTTAATCAAAAAGCTTTATTTATGCAAATACTATTTATTGTTGGCAAAAAAAAAATTGTGGCTTTTTAAAAACTTTGAAATTTTGTAAATTGTAATTTTTGACTCTTCCGACTCAAAAGGTTGCCGACCCCTGGCCTAGCTGACCACCCAGCTTCCATCATGCCGATGATTCTCCCCCTCTCAAACTGCGACAGCTGCCCATATTGTCTTCGAAAACGCCGTAAATGCATGTCTATCTCAGCTCTTCCTTTGTAAACGATTCAGCACACTCAAACAAGCTTTGGTTACCTGTTATACTCCCCGGAGAACGAAGTTAAATGCCCTCTACAGGCTATAT